GGTTAATGCCATCTTTGTTTCGCCTAAAATCGAAGGAGGAATAAATGGTATCACTTTACAATGGCCAAAACTTCCACAGGCGAATAGATGAAACAATTGCTTCCTTATTAGATTTTCTGAGGGAAGACACTCAAAGTCACCTCTTCGTCTTTCTCTACAACATTTTTCCGACGAGATGGACACACTTCTCAATACTCTCAAGTTCGATGACAACAAAGGTACGTTCTTTAGGTTCCATGTGAAGGGTGCCACTTTTAAACCAGAACTCAGAAAGCCAGTCTTTTCATGTTCGATATTGTCCATACTGGCATGATTATAATGTTGGCAATGACATAAGCATCTCAGACGTGCATAAAGAGGATCCAGATTTTCTTGTCTAAGGAAGCTACTGAGGATCAGATGGACAGAGGGGATCACCAACGAGGAAATATTAAGATGAACGAGACAGAGTCCAGTCAGAGATCAGGTGGGAAGAAGGCGTTGACGATGGATTGGACACACTTTCAGGAGATCAAGTAGCTGCATATCAAGGAAAGTGTTAGATTGGAACCCACAGGGTGAAAGATCAAGGGAAGACCACATGGAACCTGGAGAAGAGTCACGGAAATGGATGTACAGAAAAGTGGGAAGACTTGGAGTGACATCAAGCTACTTGCCCAGGATAGGGAAAGATGGAAAGTGTTTGTTCATGGCCTATATCCTGATCCAGGGTGAAACAGGCAATGACGATGAATGACGTACTATGATATATAATGGCCAACGTCTTATTAGAAGAACATTTAAACAAACACTTCGAGAGTACCCCCCCCCCCACCCCCTTGAGGGTCATAAAAAAATTGTATGATAGTAAACCCAGAGTCTCTAAAGCGCACTGAAGTCTTCACATCGTTTTAAACAGTCTTTCCGAGTAAATTTCATGACATTGTTCATAGCTTCTGCACAACGTAAAGACAATGGGTGCATGCTTGACGAGTTTCATCTGTTTGTGAACTAAAAGACTTTTTTTAGGGGGGGGGGGGGGGTTCTATATTTCTTTGACATGATTCAGTCAGGGAAATACAACAAGTATGCGTTTTTATAATTCGATTTTCATCGAAACTCTGATTCCAACTACTCTTACATAAGTCATCGGGAGACTTCGGACAGTGTACGAAGTCACCCCAACCCTTGTACAAAGTCTCCCTACACTGGGGTAGTGTACGACGCTTGTTCAATGAAGCAGACATCATGAAAGCTTGGTTAAATTTTATGAATCATGCATAAAACAGACACCATAAGACACATACATAGGTTTGTGAAAAGATTGGAGCGCTATTACGAAGTGTAAACCTCACAAACTGAGGTGTTAAAACGAAGATAAACCCTTGAAAAAAAATAGTTTCCTTCACAGCAGATGCAAGATTTCGCTCAAAGAGGTGGAAAAACCACAGCAAGCCAAACCTCAAATAACACATTATGTGATCCAGTGGCAAAATATGTACTATCTATAGTTAAGTGAGAACTGACGTGTCCGAAGTGTCCGTGTGTCCGAGGCCTCATCGCTCTCCCCTATTTGTATTAATAATAACAATATTATACTTGTATACTATTACAAATCGGATTGAAAGACAACTGAATTAGTCTTTTCTCACATTTATTCTCTTGTGCCATGGTGTTTCCTTGTTTGTTATGTCGAATTTTCGCCTCGTCGGCTCATACCACAGGATGGAAGCAGCGCATACAAAACGGGCTACACTCAGATGGAGATCATTGTGCGTGACATAGACGATAAGCCTCCAGTGTTTGACGTCACTGAGTACATGGTGGAGTTCCCGGAAGGGGTAAGTATGACGTGGTCGTCTCGTTCACTTGTCCCTGGTATTGTTTTTATCCTTTAACATTGAGTGAGTATATTTTAAGATTACTATTGTTTATATTGCTGCTCATTTATATTATGCATGTGATTGTAAGCCTACGTGTGAGTGGGTGGTTGGTGGGTGCTCTGGTGTGGTTTGCTTCTTCGTTCCTATCAAACATCTATCGTTCTTATCTCCCCTTCTTCTTTTTTTATGTTTGTTACTTTCTTGTAACACCTCTAATCTTCTGGCGCTCATATGACCTTATGCAGTTGCGAGCGCCGTAAAACCTCTACTAAAACTTTTAAAAAGCCTACGTGTGCATGGGTGTGTGTGTGTGTGCGTGTGCGTGTGTGTGTGTGTGTGCGTGTGCTTGTGTGTGTGTGTGTGTGTGTGTGTGTGTGTGTGTGTGTGTGTGTGTGTGTGCGTTCGTGTGTGTGTGTACACGTGGTGAAACACCAAACCAATGTGCCAGAATCTGGACAATAAAGATGTATCTTATCTTATCTTATCTTTTTGTTTTGTCCGAGCACCATCTCTCATACAGCCAGGTGTTCGTACAGTCTCCCACTAACGCAGGGGATGAGGCTTTGGCAAAATAATGAATTAATGAATAACCTTTCAATAGAACTTTTTTTTCTATCTGAAACACTGGACATGAGAGT